TATTGTTTAATGTGACACATCTTAATATATTTTAAATATGTTAATTATATTACAAATTAAGCATCAGGACATGTTTGTGAATTGATGTCATCAGTTTGACAAACAGTGTGTAAAGTGATGTTCATATTAAGATTGAAAATACTTTTGTCCACCATACAGTTTGCATATTGCATTTGTACAGCTTTTAGAACCTCCATGATGCACATCTACAGTTTTGTTCAATATCCTTGTACATTGTAGCTGGTACTTACTACCATGAACTATTGCTGAATCAACAATGTAGGGTAAAATGAATAGTTGATAACTTTGACATCAAATACATAATACCATGTTGAATGGCTTTATGTAAAAGGTCATGGCTGGTGCATTTTGACCACCACCCATGAACATATGGTTAAGTGAAGAATTCTGATTTTTCATTTATTTTGTATGCTCTCCCTTTTTAATCTTCACATATTTTGTCCAAACATTTAAAATTATCTCTTCAAACTAATCATCACATCACAAATAAGCGATTCTGTTCGTTATTGTGTGAAACTTTTACTTCTGTATTTAGCTTACAACTAAATATTTTACATATTATATACACACACACATGTGAGAAAAATAAAGCAAATATTCAAAATTATAAAATCAAAACAAGCATTGTCCAACAGAAGCTGAAAACATTTTTTTTTTTTACAAATTTTCTCCAAATGTTTAAATAACATTAAAAGAAAAAACACATTAACCTATGCTTAAGGACATGCAATAATATTTGTCTCCTTTCTGTTAACTTTACTTATTAGTTTCAAAATCCTAAGACTGTTGAAGGCTAATTGCACTTTGCAAGAATGAGGTTTCAAGTACTGTGCTTATTCTGCCTTTGGAACTACTACTTTCATCACCGACTGTGCTCTGCTGATGGTAAATTGCCTGATAGTATATTTCCATTGTAAAAGGCATCTTTGAAAAATATGAGAACAATCTTAGACACACATTTTAAAAAAAAATGGACATCAGTTTCCAATTTCATGTTTAAGCAGACCAAAAAGAAAGGAGCTCATTGGATCTTCACAGGGGTTCTTGATTGATACGTAGTCAAATGGAACTATTGTGATTGCAATGTCTTTGGTCATCATTCTTACATAAGCAGCCTCTTAATTTTGAAGTGTAGCTTTCTAACAATACAAGGAGATATGCCCAGCTTCATGGCAATGGCTTTTTGGATTGGACAGTTTGTTTTTTAATTGGCTTAGAGTAGGCTTTTGGAGCCCACTGTTGTCCTAAATACTCTTCTCTGACATTTTTTCACTTCCATGGAGAAAATAGAGGGTTACTTCCTTCCAAATAGTGTGTCCTATGGCCCAACATCATTTTAAGATCTTAAAAAGGAATATCCTTCATCAGAAATGTTTGTGATTTTATGCTCCAGTCATAAGTATAACTGTGGCAGCAGTGCAATGTCAAAATGATGTGATTTTGCCATGCTATGAAAATATAGGTACTAAACATATCACTCATCGCTTCCATCTGTGGTGGCACATGAATAAATCATTATATAAAACTCATTCTTATAATGTGCAATCAACTTTATATATACCACAAAGACGATTAGCTTTATATAACATAATATAAACATATTATTCTTCTACTACTTTTTTTTTTAAATAATATCATGATGGAGGTAAATCTAAACAATGCCATCTAATACATTAAGATTATATACTTCTATCAAGTTATTATGATAAAAACTCTAATTTTTTAAACAAAGAAGATTTTTAGTTGTAAAAAGAAAGTGTCTATTAGAATTCTTTTTTATTCCACTTGTAATATATTCATGTCTTAACTTGAACCATTTCAGACAAAAATTGTTAGATACTTACTGAATCACTATCATCAACCTTTCTCCGTGGTGGTGCCTTCTGCTTATTTTTTGACTTTAAGATACAAAAATAGAGATATACAGTTTATTACATTGTGACAAACACATTTTAAGCTATGTTTCATTACTATAACAACAAATTATTCAAGTTTGCTAATTATAATAATGGTAAAACACATTTTCTGGTACCGTAGCTTTCTTACAAATCAAAACAAGCATTGTCCAAGAGAAGCTGAAAACATTTTCTACAATTTTTCTCCAAATGTTTAAATAACATTACAAGAAATAACACATTAACCTATGCTTAAAGACACTTTTTTACAAATATTTTAATTTACTTATTATATTATACTAGTTGTTTTTAAGAATTATATCAAAATCCTCACAACTTTCTTGATCACATGCAAACATTGCATTATATATATATATTTTATCAAATTAAATATCTTACTTCATAATGAAACTACTGACACATAGAAAGCATTAAAGTCAAGTCTCTTACCAAAGTATAACAATGAATAAATGAAGGACTCATTCTATAGTTGTCTTAGCTTAAACATGAATTCGATATTACTATAAATCCATTTTGGATGGATAAACAGTTTTTTACATCTTTACATTACAAAATAATAATAATCAATTAATATAATAATATAATTAATAACTGATGTTGTAGAAAATTTAAATTTCTTTCATTATATAGTTTCATTTATAAATGTAAAGAAATATACTTTAAAATTAATTTTCTTACAGCCTATTTATATAAAAGTGTAAAACATAAGAGAAAATATATTAAAACAGATTTACAGAGCAAAAATTGATAATTTGATAAGAAAAAGAAGGATCTTATATATATATATATATAAATGACAAAACATATTTATTTACAGTTCAATGAAATGTTTTGGGATAAGCATATTTCATCATCAGCATGAAATTGTAGGAAGACAGCTTTTAAAATAGCTTTATTCCCCAAAGAAAAGCAATAATAAGCTATGTCTTGCATATATTATATATCTCCACGTTATATTTTCACTTGTTTAAACTTTCTTTTCTGGTTTTTAGTTTCATACCATCAATGGAAAATGCTGTTCAACTATAAATAAATATTTAAAAAGTATAAAAATGAAATTAAAAACTAAGAACATGCCACAATTTAAGTTTGGCCACTGTTAAAATGGCATAATCAATAAAAGTTTGGATGCTATCTAAAGTTTAGAATTTGGGTCATTTTAACATTTAAATTACATAGAGAACAATATATGATGTAATACCTCAGTAGGCTTTTTTGTGGAATTTGAAGATTTTTTTTTTGGTGGTGGAGACTCATCTTCCTAAAAGAAATAAGTTTTTTCATAAAACTTTTACAACATATGCCCTGGTACACAAAGGATCTAGGTA